TCATGAACATGAGCATTCTAGGCAACCTAGGAGGAATTATCAAAATGATTTTATGCACAGAAATGACTTTTCAAATAGACAAAATAATGCTAGGACACCTAAAAGAGAGAATTTTCAAAAACCAATATTTTCTCAAAATAGGATGAATATGGTTAGGCCCCCTAGCAACTATTATCAACCTAGGCACATGTTCAACCCAAACGTAGTATGCCACTATTGCAATAGGGTAGGACATATAGCTCCCGTGTGTTTCACCAGACATAGGCACTTCACCTACAATGAAACACACAACGTATTTGGTGCTAATGAAAAGAAATCCTTTGGAAAAGGATATTCGAATCATAAACAATCTCCACAGGACAATGCACAAAAGAAACCTTATTATTTCTTCTACTTTGACGAAAAGAAGAATGTCCACATTCCGTTACCAGAACCGACACAAATCACACCGAGATATCGGCACTCCGTTCAGGTAGACTGGAACCCGCCAACCACGAGATCATGGGTTGGCCAAGGTAACTCCTAAACGATCATCTAATCGTGTGTGTGTGTGTGCGTTAGGAAACAAATTTTGCAGGTACGTATCAAAGTGAGGAACTCAGGGGGAACCAGCGATGGGTGGTTTATCCCATCACTGGGAAGGAAGTATTTTCTAACCAGCAGCCCTCTTCTCATCGATGGGAACTTCTTCCCATCGCTGGGTGTTTGACACTTTTTTTTTTAAAAATATTTGTTAACGGATTTCCAGTAGCTGTCTTCCCATGGATGGGAGAACCTTACCATCGCTGGGAAGGCTGCCTTCACTTTCTTCCTCCCTTTCCAGTACCTGTCTTCCCATCGATGGGAGAACCTTACCATCGCTGGGAAGCCTGTTGTAGTTCAAAAATCATAGCCGTTGGGCACCTCATTCAATGCCTAACAGCCATACTTTTAACACCAAGGGCCCAAATTCTCTTTTCCTATAAATATTAACCATCCTTGATCATTTTTAACACACAACTCACATTCCTCTTGCATACTTTAAGCCTCTACTCACTTTCTAAACGCTTCAACAATGGCTAGAGGAAAGTCAAGGACCAAAACCGAGGCTTCAAAGAAGAAGGCCAACACCGGCGCCACGACATCTTCTTTATTTTCTCGTTATTAAATATGATTGTGTTTTTATTCGTTGTATTCTGCATTTCCCTTTTAAATGAATAAAAGTTTACTTTTAATTCTTTTTGTTAATGTCAAAAGGGGGAAGATATAAAGGTTATGCATAGATTGAGGGGGAACTATTTCTAAATTGCATTTATTAAGGGGGAACATTTTTTAAGTCTAAAATCAATCCTCCTATGCATAACCCCGTCTTGTTTGCCATTATCAAAAAGGGGGAAATTGTTGAAACACGGGTTTATCACGTTTTCGTACTAAAGCCGCGTTCGTTGTTATGACAGGTTTTGATAATGCCAAACTGCCGTGAACGAGACAAGTCATTGAATATACAAGGCGAGAACCAAAGATGAGAACAAGAGCCAAACGAAGACCAAGAACGAAGACCTTAGTCTTAGCATCGTTGAGTCGGTCTTTATTGTGATCAAGACCGACCCAATCTTTACACCTTGGCTCTTTAGGCTAAAATTCTTTTCAATGCATTTCACACATCATAAAAATGTTTTTCAAAGATTTATAAAACATTAAAAACACTTGGTGTTCGCCCAAACCAAAAACCAAGCCATCTGGCGTTCGGGTTTCAGAAACCGGCATTCGGCATTCGGTTTTCGGCGTTGGTTTTTGGCATCCGAACTAACCAAATGGTTTTCAACTTTTTATGACTGGTTTTTACTTCTGGGCACATTTAAATAGTTTTTCATCAAAAACACTTCAAAATTCACCTTTCGTTTTTTGTCGTTTGATAAAAACCATGTGAAACGACATTAACTTAGCTAGCCATGGTTTTTACTTAAATGAAGTGGTTTTCGAGTCTTTTTGTGTGGGAATTGTTTTTGATCGAATTTAAATGGTTCTCCAATCAAAACATCATGAAAACCACCTTTCAGTTTTGTCTTTTGGTGAAAACCACCCGTGTACGGTGTTGACATGGTCAACTGTGGTTTTTACCTTAACGACGTGGTTTTCAACTTACAAAGCTTGTTTTGACATAAAAATACATTAAATAAGTGTTTTATATACTTAGTTTTTACTTTGGAGAACTTTGCATTTTTCGGTCGGGTTTCAGCGCCGGTCAGCTAGGCCATGGTTCTGGGCTAGCCATCTACCCAGCGATGGTAGATTTCACCCATGCATGGGTAAGTGATCCCGGGATTCCAAAATCATGCCACCCAGCGATGGGAAGATCTTCCCATCAATGGGTAAGCAGTCCGTCAACGAAACTGATTTCCAGAACCATGCCAAACAGCGATGGGAAGTTCTACCCATCGCTGTTAAAGCCTTGGTGCAACATTACCACAAGGCAGAATGCCCTTACCCAGCGATGGGAAGCTTTACCCATCGATGGGAAGGCTTAACCATCGATGGTTAGGCATGACCGTTGCGAGTCATTTAAGGCTGATTCTTTCCTTATTTGAAAGTCAACCTCCCACCCAGCGATGGGAAGCATCTACCCATCGATGGGTAGGTAACCGTTGGCTTCAAAACTGAAGGAAAATTGGCTTACCAGCGATGGGTAAGTTCCAAACATCGATGGGAAGCCAATATCCTGC